GCCCGCTCTGTGCGGTGAGTGTCCTCTTGTGCCCGCTCTGTGCGGTGAGTGTCCTCTTGTGCTCGCTCTGTGTGGTGAGTGTCCTCTTGTGCTCGCTCTGTGTGGTGAGTGTCCTCTTGTGCTTGCTCTGTGTGGTGAGTGTCCCCTTGTGCTCGCTCTGTGTGGTGAGTGTCCTCTTCTGTCAAAAGTGGGCGTGGAAGGGGGAGTGGGATTAGGGGGCAATAATGAAAAAAAAATGGGCATGGCTCTTTTTGTACCTCCGTTGTAAATTGTATTGACGCTCAATAAAAAAAAAATATAAAAAAAGTGGGCGTGGCAGATCTGCCTGAATGTAGACGAGAGTTGGGAATAGAATAGTGTTGTTTGTGATACAGAAACAGACAAGCGATGGTAAAGTCTTTCAGGACAGGTATTTGGAGGCCTACAGAGGTATAAAGTCTCAGATCATATATCTGAAAACCTTTCCTTAACGTAGCTTGAAGTAGGTGTCATGGCTCAGTGCTTGTATTTCTTCAGGGGAACTTCTGTTGTACCATAAGATGTGATGCTTCACCAGGTTAATGTGCCCTTGGGACAGGAGGAAGCAGATGGCTGCACTGCCTGAGCATTTCCTGTGGCTGTGTTCCTTAAGCCCAGTCTGTGCCCCCTCCCCAATCTGAATCTGGCCGCTTCCATGTGCTCTATTTCGCAGCCACATTCGTACCAAGAATACGTTAAGGAAACGGTTGCCTAGGCATCCATGCTTGAACCTGATTGGCTCCAGAGGCTGTGACGACAGAGGATGATGCAAGGCCTGACCTGACAGTCAGAAGTGAATGATAGAATGTCAGGATTAATTTCTGCCTGATGCATCTTTACGCATAACATTTCTGTTCCAAGCTCTGAAAAAAATTCATATCTGTCTTCTCTCTTCCCTGTTTTTTTTTTTCTCCAGGGAAAACAGCTGAGTGACCATCTGAATATTTACATATTCTCCCTGGACAAGAAGCACCAGCAGTAGCGCAGGACCCCGTGCCGCTGACTGTCCAGACTGGACCTGTCCAACGGTGCAGCCGAGGAGCCAATCAGAGGAGACAATCAGAGGCAGAGACACGCACTGCCCGAGAAAAGCATTAGAGCCCCTCTCAGGTAACCAATCAGGAGGAGGGATAGCTGCAGAAATGCCCTCTGGGAATTATGTGATGTAATATCATACTGGCAGCAAATCTGGCATTACAGGTGGACCTGTGGTTAAGGGCCATGGCACACGGTCACATGGTCATGGAGCAAAGGTCGCAACCATAGCAACCCAAGAAATTCCAAGAAAAGTCTCCTTTTAAGGGTGTGGGGGGAAAAAAAACTGCTTCATTTTAATTCACCACAATACTATGCTGTGGAATCATGATAGTTTAAAGGTTTCTACTGTTTGCTGTGTATGAACTGGACTGTAATAGAATGTGTTTGAGTGTAGACTGAAATTGTGCAGATTGGTGTATTACTTTAAAGACAACATATTTAATCCTAGCAGACAGTGTTTGCATACAGTTTTCCCAAAATTCTCCTGTAGTCAACATGAAAATGGGTCATATTAACGAGAATTTGAACTTGAATTTGATTTTTTTACGTATTCCATTCTCATATGACAAGCTTTGAAGTTTTAAGATGTACTCTGCAAAACAAAAAAGGTATAAGAACATATAGGCGTTGGAAGTGATTTGTTTTTCTCCAGTATCATATTTTCTCATAGGAAGAAATTACTGACAATTTAATAATGCAAACTGTTAGCAATGAAGGGATAAAGTATGGAAACATGACCTACAATAGTGAACAGGGGTTTTCATCAACCCTGGTGCAGTTTATTGCCCTTTGCAGAAATGCAAGTGCAGCTTGGTATTCCAGCCTCACGGAACACAAGGGGTAGCAGGGACCCCCGCAGGAGGGTGGACCATTTTGACAGGGACACTCTACACTGCATTTCTACACGTCATACGGTTTCCAGAGGTCTGTGGCTGGCCCAGCAGTTACAGGTTTAGCCCAGAACCTGACTATGCTTCTTAGCTTGTTTTGTTAGGCATTAATCTCATGAAAATCTGTAAATATGTCAGCGTCACTGAGCGTCTCTGAAACGCAGTGCTGACCTCACTGCGGATGCTTTTAATCTTTGTCAGGATGAATCCTTGTGTTTTTTATATAATGATTCTTGCAGCTTTGTCTCTTAAATGGATAGAAAAGTACTACTTTTCCTTTTTAAGGGGGTTAGGGAGGCACTGTGCCATGATACATAAACACCCAAAGGGAGATCAGTATAGCAGACTGCTCCCTCTGGAACAAAATGCAGTGCATTTTACTCTACACTAATACCTCTGGATCAGAGAACAAGGACACTGGATGCTCGCAAGCTTCCAGCTTTTCGAAAATGTTGGAATCGCATCGCCAGTGATTCTTGCTTTATTCTGTTGATGACATCAAAGCACTGGATGTGAACTGGGACAGTTTCTTATAATATACTAACGAATGAGATGCTCTGAATGGAATAAATCAAAGCACATTGTTCTAAATGTTGAATGATTCTGAATGTATCGAAGGTTTAATGATGCATAATGTTAGTTCTTAAAAAATGAATCATATTAAAGTATTTATTGTTAGATTTTGTTTTAGACCAGTTTGGATATAGTATGCATATAAACTTTCTCATGTTTTAATGTATGCACTATTTGTTCCTAGTATGTCTCACTTTTTGGATCCATAAATACCTAATGGTAAATTTGTATAAATATTGCATTTCTAAAGAGTTGCCATTTTCTTGAGTCAAATTTTATTTGTAGGGTGATTTGTGCAACTCCCCTGCATGTGGTTATTCCTGGAAAAACAACTCTGTGTAAAAGAGCAAAACTTCAGACTTCAGGTTGTGGTCAGCAGATGATCACTGCAGTTCCTGCTAGGAGCTGGACATCAGGAAGCCGTTTCATGTTTGGACTTTAGATGTTAAATTAATTACAGAAGTTTCTTTGCTCGGAATACAAAATAAAAATTTAGATTTGTGTTAATGGAGAATGAAGCTCAATAAATTAATGAGAATTGAGGTTTGGTGACTGTACTGCTTATTTGGACAGTTCCGTTGTGAGTCGATTCCTGCCCCACAGTCTGAGTGTGGAGTTTGCATGATCTCTTCGTGTTCGTCTGGCTTTTCTTCACAGTCTAGATCAGTGTTCCCCAGCCCAAGACAGTCCATGTTTTTGCTCCCATCCAGTTCCCGGTAGCAAAAATGTAGACTGTCCGGGGGTGTGCGAGGCCTGGGTTGAGAAACACTGGTCTGGATAGATAGAAAGATACACTTGAAAAGCAGATGCTTGGCTTGTATACTTAAAGATTAGATTCTGTAACATTTTAATAATTCCAATAACTTATAAAATCAGCATGAGAAAATGGACACGTTGCATTTGTAAGTCCATGCCTTAATCCCCCTGTAATTGTTTATTGAATAAACAAAGTTTCCAGTGTAACATACTGATGCAGTGGGCACTGTATGCCAGTATGACATTTTTTGAGCTTTGCCTGTTGAATATTAGTCTACGCCAGTGTTTCCCAACCCTCGGGGACCCCCAGGGTACCAGGAAGTGATCTGGGAGGGAGCGAAAACATGGACCGACTGTAGGATCCTGAGGACCGGATTGGGAAACACTGTTCTAAGTAAAAGGATGTGACAGTTTCAGTTTAGTGTGAATTGAAGGGGGTTATGGAAGGGGCCCCAGGTCCCCAGTTACAGTGCAGGCTGATCATCTGTCAGGTGACTAACACCTGGTTTAGGCCTGGTACCCTGTCCATAATGTTCCCCTTTTCTGTCCATTATTTAAAGTGATTCCACCATTTAATGGTCACTGAAATGTGAAATGGAGAAGCTCCTGTTTATGTTAAAATCAAACAAATGAGAAGTTAGATTTTAGATGTTGTGCATCACCGTTGAGCGCTTCTCCAGTTGAGCGCTTCTCCAGTTGAGCGCTTCTCCAGTTGAGCGCCATGCTAAGTGCTAGAACAGCACTTATGGTTGGCGGGTGTTACAATGAAGTTTTTACTTCAAGATTTACCTTTACAGTATGTTGCAATGCGCTTGTGATTTTCTCATCTTGCAAACGTTTTCCCTCTACCTGTGAACTTTGAATCGGCGCGATTCTCTCATTTGCCTTAAACTCAACGCTGCCTTCATGCCTTCTGACACTGGTGGGCTAATTAGCCACACGCTGCGTTATTTCAGAGAAGGTGGAGTTCAGAGAAGCACACATTTAAGATGTCCTAAATTCACTCAAGACAGCATGGGAATTTTAACTTTAAACCTTCCCGTATTTCTGGCATATGGCCTAAATTTACTACCATGAGAAAATGGCTAGCTTTATCCCCTTACGTTAGCTGAGGTTGACTATAACAAAGGATACCTTGGTTACTACTCATCTAACATATTAATAGAAAGCTAAATGACATTTCAAAGGAAATGAACACAAACCATTCGTGTAAACAGACACTTCATATTGTAAAATGAATTCAAAGCAAAATAATTAACAGAATACAGAAAAAAAAAGAGCAAAATAAGAAAATAGGAAAGGCAACATTTAGCACCTAACATAAAGCATAATACTGTGACGTAACAATACTGCAAATGAGGTTTCTTTGTTGCTGTGCTCCCTGAGAAAGCAGTAAAAGTGATAAACAATTGATACTGGTTTAAATGGGTTTGAAAAAGTATCCTGGCATGCTACAGTATGTGTAGGTCATCAGTTTGAGTATTGAAATTATTAGGGCAGCTAAGCTAATTTAGCTCACACTATTTAAGTCTAGTGATTTATAGGGCATTTGCACCTGTAGACATTAACCCGTATGCTCTATCTGAAGAGGAATTTAGGTTGGTATCAATGTCATCTTGTATTTGTCAAAACATCACATTATCTGGCTTTATAATCACAGCGCTAAGATGCCTTCAAGCTAGTGTTTGTTGAGAAGCGACGATAAACTCGCAATACGCTTGGGAAGAATGCGCCTCTTTTCATCTCAAGACGAGAAGTAAAGCACGAAACAGGCTGACAGATTGTGGTTTCCTGCTTTTCCTCTTGCTTGCTGCCTGTCTGGCCACTTCGTGACAAACATAGAGTTTGGATCGACCTGAAAAGCTGCATCAGAGAAATGACTGAGCCCCAGCCCATCCAATCAGCGGTAGACAGGATTACTAATAGCTAAATTCAAAGCACTCAGCAGTGATTTGGCGAAGTAGCCATCTCTGTCTTCCATCTTGATAGCTACACAATTCAACTCGGCAAAACTTCTACCTCTACGATGCACCTCAGGTTAAAGTTAGTCTGCATTTATTAGTCAGACAGGTAGATTAGTCGGGTGCCAGAAGCACTTAACTCTCCCTTAACTAACTAAATTTTGGGCTGGAAAATGCATCTGTTGCTTCCTATATATATCAATCCTATGTATTTGTTTATCCTATCTATTCATCCTTCCATTGATCCTATCTATTCATCCGTCCACCAACCTAGCTTTCACATTTGCATGTTGGTGTTCCTGTTGGGGAGCTTCTACTCACTCTTGAGGAGACCTGACAGCATTTATGTGCATGTATCCAGACAGCTGGGAATATATGCAGACATTCCCCGGGGTTACAATGGTCTGTGACACGATATTTTGAAGGGTGACTGTTCTTGACTTTCAGTACATTATTCAATAAATTACATGAGATATTCAACATTTTATTATAAAATAGATTTTGTGTTAATGATGACAGAACAGTAGGCTAATGTAAGTGTTCTAAGCATGTTTAAGGTAGGCTAGGCTATAATGCTTGTAAGGTTAGCTATACTGTATTAAAATGCATTTTCCCCTTACAAAAGGTTTATTGGAACGTAACCCCATTGTAATCTGTATAAAAAATGAAGCGGATACTCAATGCTGGAATACTTCAAGAACTGAAAGCGTCATTTACATAGAAGGTACAGAGTACAAAAGAGCTGATAAAACAAATTGTGGAGAGAGAGACAGACAGACATGCAGAGCGCAAGTACAGCATGTGAAGAGAGACAGAGAGAGACAGGACCGGACAGACAGTGTGTACAGCATGTGAAGAGAGACAGACAGACAGGACCGGACAGACAGTGTGTACAGCATGTGAATCCACTGCTTTTTTTCATTCAAAGTTGTACTTTTTATTGTAGCAAATCCATCCAAATCTCCTTAGCTTTGAAATGGCAGGTTAAACGTACAAAAACACAATTCACTTAACGGGTTTTTTTTATTAAATATGTAAAAAGATAAAAGCCGGTTGTTATTCACAAAGACAAAAAAATAAAATACTAACATGCAGCAGATTGCGGGGAAGGTGCAATGACTGGCACATTGCGAGGAAAATGTTTTGCATCTAAGGAAATCCCCAATATTTTTTTCTTTTGCTATTTATACCTATAAACAGTACATTTGTTTACATTCCTTTCCATTTTACAAGTAATATATGAATAAAGCGGTACATGAGCAATGGAGTTTAATTATAGTAAATGTACGGAGGAACAGTATCATACTGCTGTACTGTACTTATATTACAGCACCCAGTGAGCGTTCCATGGACTTGTTAAAAATTAAATAAGCAACTCTTATACATCGACTTCACTGATACTTCAATTCCTTGGAATTCGTAATAACTGTCACAAATAAAACGAAATCTAACTTACGAGCTAAGTTGAATTGTTTACCTCAACTGCTGCAAAATAATCCCCCATTTACATGGAAATGAGCATGCCTAGTGTACACACAGCCTTCCTCATTCAGTATACTGAAAGTAAAAAAGTCAAATCATTCATTTCTCATTGTTCTACAAGATACATTGACATGATGACACTGAGGGAGGGGGGGGTGGGAAGGAGTTCTTCGAGGGGCACACTTATTGCGTTCATACATGATGAACAGAACCGTTATGCAAGATGTCGTGAAAACGAGAGGAGGGGGATGAGCTGGGAACGTCTATGTGACACGCGAGAACCCTACAGGTCACAGGTGGAGTGACACACTGCAGGTCAGAACGCATCCACGCTGTCCTCTGTCCCCTGGAGGCCAATGATAGGGGGACGCCAGGGGGTACTCCAACGACAGGCACAAAAGCACACAAACGCTGCACTGGGGGGTGGGGGTCACACGTGACAAGCCACTCTATGTGTACGATCCTCAGAGGAAGAAACTGGCTGGGGAGGGAACATGGGGGGGTGGGGTGGTAAAATAAAAGCTTAAAACAGTCCTCACAAAAACAAAGGACAGTGGGGGAGGGGGGTGTGGGGGAGTCAGTACTCCTCCTGTTGGGGCTCCTCTTCCTCCTGAGCTGCGTGGGCAGCTTCCTCCCCAGGATCTGCTGCTCCCTCCTGCACAGACAGACGACAGCAGACGTCAGTCTCATTCCTCCTGCTTTCCACCCAATCAGCCCCTCATAAGTGTCTCCCCCTCGATTCACGACACCCAGACTGGCTGACAGCACAGCGACTGGTATCTACACTCTGAGACCTGCAGGGCGGCGCCATTCTATAGACTGCATCCATAACCGAGATGGCGTCTAGTTGAGTGATGATGCTGCACGGCTATGATAGAGAGGAACGCAGCCCCCTACAGGTGAACAGCGGTTCCGTCAGCCAACTGCATTCTCGGGGCCTGCTGAGCACAGCCTACTAATGCAGTGCGGAGAGGTATTTAACCCAGGTCACCTGCTCTGATGCCAACTACGAATGTCCTCAACAGAGACCCTTAAACAACAACAGAGAGAACATTCGGTAACACTTTACTTAAAGCACTCATCATAGTGCATTATATATACACCTTCATAATGCATTATAATGCATTCATAAAGTATAATAAACACAGCTACAACTCTTTATAAAGAGGCATAACACATTACAGCCATGTTTGTTATGCATTATGAATGCTCTATGAAGCTCTCATCTATAATGCACTATAGATATCGTCATAATGCATTATACAGGCCAGTATAAGCCATTATAATGCATCATGAACATATTTGTAAGTGCACTAAAAAAGTTAAACAGTTATAGCTGTTTATTATACTTTATGACTGCATTATAATGCATTACAAAGCTGTCTATAATGCATTATATACGAGTTACCGAGCGTTTTGAACCCGTGAGAAGCGAGGGGTGGAACAGCACACAGCGGGCTCACCTGCTCTTCCGTGGAGTAGAGGACCTCCATTAGCCGATCCACAAACTGAGCACTTTCCTGGCCCTGCTCCTGGCACAGCAGCTCGATCTCTCGCAGCTTGCCAAAGTAAAAGTCTCTCTCCTTCTCCACGCCTTCCAGGGCGTGCTTCAGCGTGTTGACCTGCCAGGAGCGGAGTGGGACGCGGGCGTCAACCAGCGGCGAGACACACGGCTCCTCCCTCAGCTTCATTTACTTCCATTTAGCACACTATTTCACCAATCCAGTCCTTGGGGACCCACAGACAGTCCACGTTTTTGCTAGT